CTAAGTGCATTTCAGAGCCTCATGAGCAAGAGGGATAAACTTTAATCAACTAACTGAATTCTTTTCTCCGAAGAGACTTCAGAGGATAAATACAACCTGCGAAAGGAATACAGGCGGTAAACACTCACAGTCCCACACCCTCGCCTTCAAATGACAAGCGAAGGAGAAACCGGCGGCCCAGCCCCTCCGAGTCGGCAGTCTTCCTTCTTCTAGTCCCAGAAAGTAAGTGGACATCCGAAGAAGAGGATAGATCTGGGGCTGAACTATCCAGGGCAGAGTCGCCTTGGCATCATCGTTCCCCGACTACAACGGCCTAGTGAAGGGCCCCAAGGCTGGCGGGCGGGCCTTGCTGCGGCTGCCGTCTGGGAGCCCCCGCCCCGGGCACTCGCTGACTCTAGCTTTCTCAGGTCAGTCTTGTCCCCACGCCTCTGGCCCCCAAACCAAGTAAAGGAGCCGAAACACCGGCCCCCGAAGCCCTCGAGGAGAAAAGCCGAAGCCGTAGGGCTTCAGACCCGCCGCTCCAGATCCGGGTGGGGTGCCCTGGGGGCGGTTTCCCGGTCCTCTCCGGGGACAAACTCGGCCCGCGCCCCCGAGAAGCCGGCGTTGACTTCCTCCCTCTCGGAGACCACCCAGCCGAGCAGGTATGGTAGGGACCACCCCAGAACTCACCTTTCAGTCCCGGGCAGCAGTCCGTCCGTCAGTCGGTCCCGAATTCTGTCCACACAGAGCGTCTTCCGGCTCCTGCCGGAAGCAGTTCGAGCGCGGGACAGGAAGTTTGGCCGCCCCCCACGCACACACCCACTCGCTTGCCTCCCAGCCCCGCAACAGTAGCGCCGAAGAGGGTTCCCGCGCGGGGACCTGAGGCCTGCGCGGGCCAAGCTGGTAGCGCAGGGCTTGGCTCTGTGAGGGTAGGACCTGCGCTCTCCCGCCTCCCACTCATTTCCTCTCGGCCTTTGTAGCTTCGTGGTCTGCGAAGCCCGAAAAAACGGGGTCAGTCAATTCTAGCCGTGACGTCACTGCTTCCCTGCTGCCACGGACGGGGGAGTTTTTCCTGTCAGCTGAGATCAGTACAGGTTGCAGTGGAGGCAAGCGAGAAAGAAAAGATCACTACTTAAACATTTATCAGAGTTCTGTCAGTGAAGAGGACTTCGAAGCTTAAGTGCCAGAGAAAGGAACTTGCAGAATAGTTCTGCATTGCATACCGGGCGGGGTAAAAAATTGAGACTCAGGTGTGTAACTTTTTTTTGGAATGTGGATTCCCTAGAGTCTTCGTTCCGTCAGTACATTCGGATGTGAAGAGCTCTCGGATGTCCACAGGGGGCTAGAAACCTTGAGTTGCAGGGTGGATGTCACAACTTAGAGCTTTGTGTGTCTGACTTGACTTTTTGAGATTAGTAATTTTTGAATACTTGCTGGGTCCCAAAGGATGAAGGAGAGACTCAGCTATGATAGTGGTGTGCCAGTGTGCTCAGCCACGTCCAACTCTTTTGCGACCCCATGGACTGTAGCCCCACGAGGCTTCTCCAGGCAAGAACACTGTATTGGGTTGCATTTACTTCGCCAGGGGATCTTCCCCACCCAGGATTCAAACCTGCATCTCCTGCATTGACAACCAGTTTCTTTACCACTGAGCCACCTGGGAATAAAAGGCATTTTCTAAGAGGGCGCTTTCAAGAATAGAGAATGTTGAAGAAACCAGTAGTTTCCTACTCAAAGGATGGTGATTTGAAAAGAAGCAACACCTTTCAAGGGAAGGTAATTCCTCTTTAGATAAGCCGAGTTTATCTGTCCCAGGTGCCTATGGGATTCTTGTTGTTCAGTCGCTCAGTTTTGTCAGACACTTTGTGACCCTATGGGCTGCAGCACACCACAGTTGTGTCTGACTCTGCAATCCCATGGACTATAGACTGCCAGGCTCCTCTGTCCATGGAATTCTCAAGGCAGAATACTGGAGTGCGTTACCATTTCCTTCAGGGGACCTTCCTGACCCAGGGATCGAACCCAGGGTCTCCTGCATTGCAGGCAGATTCCTTACTGTCTGAGCCACCAGGGAAGGGCCTACCTAGTTCAAGAGACTGGAAATAAGATACAGATTTGGCAGTTATCAACACTTAGACAAGAGATGAAGCTTTCTCTAGAGATGAAATGGAAAAGTATATACAACAGAAAGAACTGAAGGCCACTGAGGTCAACTGGAGTGACTGATTTACAACACAGTTTGAATCTACACAAAAGTATACTAAAGTTTGTAAACTGCTGACCATAAACCAACACAACACTCAAAAAAATCCTCAATTTTACTCTATTAAAGGCTTGATTACAATGTATAAAACAAATGCTTTTATATAGATACATTAATAGGTCCTGAACATTCATGTTTACAACTATTTGTTACTTTTGCTCAGTCAGTTGTCATTTTTTGAAGCTGTACTGTTTAAATCTTTTTCATCACTTAAAACTTGAAGTGGCTCCGGGGCCTGCGCCGGCCAGCGCCTGCCCTATGAGCGGTTGTCATCCACTCGGAGCTCCCAGAACACTCACGGGCCCCCGCCGACTTCAGCTTCAGCGATGGGTGTGTGAGCCTTTTACAAACCGGGAAACTGAAGCCCTGGGATTAAGCGCCTTGCCCAGGATCATCTGCCAGATGGAATTCTACCTCAGAGAGCTGGACTTGAGAGTCTGAGCTCTTCATTCCCAGTCACACAGCCTCCTCAGGGGGAATGCAGTCAGAGAAATGTCTGAAGAGGAGATCCAAAAGAAGACACTAGCTTCAGCTGTAGCCTGTTTAGAAGGGAAGTCACCAGGGGAGAAAGCAGCAATCATACATCAGCATCTTGGTCGTCGAGAAATGACAGATGTGATCATTGAGACCAGGAAGGCCAACCCAGATAATTATGTCCACTGACTGGTTGCAAGTAAAACAGATGATGGAAAACTAGTACAGTATGAGGATGATACTTGCCCAACGGAGAAAATAGACACCTTACAGTTAAAGTTACTGAAAGATGAGCTGAAAGCTGCAATGGAAGAAAGTCTTCAGAAGCATCCCCCATTGCACCAAGAAGTAAAGATCAAAGTAAAGAAGGTGTAAACGCTGCTCCCGATTCTCTATCCAGGCAGCTTCCAGACCAGATTTCCTTCTAAAGTGGAAACCTCTCAGTTGAAATAGTTCACAGTATTATGCATCTATTCAAGACAAGGTGAGAAAAACACTGTTTCCTTTTGAGTTTGCCTATTTTTTGACATTGGGCAGAGAAAGTGCTCTTGCCCTGAAGGGAAGTGGATATTTTAAGCTTCAAAGGAATAGAACAATATTTTGTGTTAAAGAATTCCCTGGTGTTTTATATTTAGCTAAATCTTGTAGATTGGGTCAAAGCTTCTTACAAAAGTAACATAGATACACCTGAGAAAATACCTGGGAAAGTTCTAGAGAAGGTAGGCATGCAGGTGATTAGGAAGTTGAAAGGAAGCAATATAGGAGATAGATGGGCTCCAGGTTAGACATTTACAGCTGTTCTCCCGTTTGCATTTCATGGGGCATGAAGAAGTGGGCTTCAGGCTGGATACTTACAACTGTTAGCATTTTGTGAGACAAGAGATAGGTGGTCTCCTTAAGTGTAAACACCCTAAGGTAGTAGTCCTGGCTATACCTATAGTCAAGGTTATAATCATGGCAAGGACAAAGAGGGGAACCTTGTTTGAGTAAAGGATTAAGGGATCTCCCTCCCTCCCTCTTTTGGGACGAGGGAGACACTACACATGACAGAAAGACTCCTTGTTGTGGGTCGAAGTCAGGGGACAATACCAGGCCATAATGAGTCTTGCTCCTCCCAGATGCCTTCACTTTGAGATCCGTCTTGGCTGAGGGGTATGAGTGTACCCCCAAGGGAGTGTCCCAGGTTAGGTCAGGTGTGGAATAAGAAACCAGATAATTGAATTGGAAGAAGACAAAGACCTGGAAGAACTCACCTATATAAATGACTTAACCACCTCTTTATTGCACTCCTCCTCACTAGGGTGGGTGCGCACACCCTTCCTCTCCAGGTGTGCATCTCTGCCTTGCTTCTGCCTTAACTAAACAAACCATTTCTCTGTGTGCTCTCCCACTTGCTGTGCCACGTCTCTAATGATAAACTTTGTATCTACAAAAAAAAAAAAAACTTGAAGTGATGTCTATACCTATTTCTCTTGAAATCTTTCTAACTATTTGACAGTATGTACCTACTAACCTAAAATAAACATAGGCTTTTATCAATATAGATTTGGGTTTTTAGGCTATACTGTGGACTACTTGGCAAAACACAAATAGATCATCTTCTGTAGTTAAGTCCCTCCATCAACCTAACCAGCCTCAGTTATTTAACTTATACTACTTCTGACACAAAGCCTCTGTTCTACTCCAAAAACTGTTCCACAAGCTCTGAATTTCCCCAAACTCCTGCACACATCAACACAATATGGAAATACCATCCCATTTATTCTTGCACCAAGCTACAATTCAAGAATTATGTAAACTATTTCCAATTGAATACATATTTGTGTCTTCTCAAGCATGCTATTTTAAACAAACATTATAAAGTTATAAAAATATTAATTTAAAATATTTTTTATTTAACTATATAATAACTATTAAAGTTACATTAAATCTCCAACAGTTTCTGAATATCTGTTATAAATTTCATGTAACATTATTTTTAGCAAAAGAAGGAAAAATAGGTCATATTGACATCAATCTATTATTGTAAATAATCATATAGGATGTAGAGTACATATATGATATTGAAGATATAGGAGTGATTTATGTTGTGCAACTAAGAAAATATCACCTATTATCACATCTAAAGCAAAAACTATCTATACTCTTAAGGGTTTTTTTTTAATATATCTTGAAATCTTTCAGCAGAACAGAAAGAAATCCAAGTATTTCCTTGATGAAGATGTTTATGGAGATTACAAAGAGGTATCTCCTGAAATGCAAACTATCTGCTTTCCAGTGTTACCTCCTGTCATCATGGACTGGAATGCAGCTGGAAAGAAAAAAAAAAACGAAGTTATCTGACAACATAATGTCACCATCATACATGTTTGTCAATAGAACCAGGCACATATGATTAATGTGAATAATTTCTTTGATGATTTTAAGTACCGAAGGAAACTTTGATGAAAAGAAACCGCTAGTAAAACACTAGCAAAGTTACAGGACAAACCAACCCAATTAACATCTTAAAAATGTGTTTTTTACCCAGACTATAAATGTTTAATTGGCGTCTACATCCATGTTCAATGTTAGAGTCTGAAAACTACAGCAAAATAAGTATGAGGATAAATGTTAGAAAAAACAATTTTAATAGCTTAAAAAAAGAAATCTAATCATAAAGTTTTACTAAGTAAGTGAAATGAATATCATGTGAGTGAATTTTATATTTCAGTTTGGTAAACACATTAACCAAATACATTAGATTTTTTTCTCAAAAAGGAAAAATTAGCAGTCTGATTTAATTCTCTTCATTTGAAATAAAAGAGATTGTTGAAATCTGTATGTTAGCCAAAAAAAGAAACCCAAATACTGAAAATCTGCTTAATGTAATCTTATGATTGATGACTTAGAATCATTCAATCTGAGAAAGTTACCTAGAGGCTAGATAACTTTCACAATTCTTACAATTTTTAATAATTATTTACAAAAACAAAGAAATATTTTACAATTTGAAATGAGAAAACAATAGCTCTTAAATACCACTAAGTTGAACTTTCATAGAGTTAAAGATATATAAGGTTTCACAGGAAAGAAATGTGATTCAAAGAAAAAAAAAAACAACTAAGAAGTAGAATTAAAAGAAAAAAGACAGTATTTGTGCTGAACTGATGTGTATAGTAAATATATCTACATTCATCTTACCTCCCATGTTTTCCAATCCATTTATCATAGTCTCTTTGATCTGTAAATTGAAATAAGTATATTTTATATTGTTTAGACTTTAGTGTTTCTACTTAATGGTTCGCATTTTTGCAAAAGGCAGCAATATTATTTAGCACTTTCTGTCTAAAAATATTTTTCATTTTATATAGCTAGATCAGAAAAGTTTCCTATCAATTGATTTTTTTAAATATTAATACAATCCTATTTTCCCACTGTCTAATCTTCAGTTTGTAACGTCATATGCTGTACACCCTCTTTTCAAAAAACATACACATACACCTTTGCCTATCATTTGCATGTTTCAAGAACATCCTAGGTCAGGGGTCTCTGGACCTCAGATTGATAACCACTGATTTTCAATCAAAACCAAGAGATCTATCAGAAGGTCCAGGAAGGGTGGTAGAGAGGTACTAAGAAATGCTTAAGAGATTTTTGAGAAAGAACAACTTCTAACACATAGTAATATTCCATAAATATTTGCTAATGAACATTACAATTTAGAAAAGACAAAAACCTATTCATCTTGTCATATAATCTAATAAAAGTAAAGTTTAATAAAATTTTAGATAAAGGGAATGATGAGAAGGTTTCTCAATCAGGAGGATTATACTCCTCTGGGAGGTAAAGTTAATTTATGATATTCAGTATACTTTTCTTTTACAGAAATATTTATTATGAAACTAATATTAAATTCAAATAATACAAAAGTATATCAAGTAGCAGGAAGAATGATATTGATAAAGAATAGAAGCAAGTTCTACCTTTAGCTTTCCTTCTTTAAACCATTGACTCAGCTGGAGAATACCAGACTCAAATTTATCCTTATAATTTAACACCAGAAATCTTTCTCTGTAGTGGGGAAGAAAAGGGTAATGATCAGAGAGTAGGGAGGGAGAAAGCTCATATCAAATCATTCCAGAATTCAAAAACTTGTTAATCACATAGAGTCTGGTCAAATACAGCTTTAGGTGCAATTACAAGCATATGTATAGTGGACTTCTATTGTTTTGTCTGCTCAGGATGTACAGTCCCATGTAGTAGTAACACAGTGGTTTTACTTTGTGGGTGGCATCTTTTCCCCACCTTCATGTGATGAAAGCCAGGCCAGTCTGAGCCGATACATATCAGCTTTGGGACTTGATAAAACTGCAAGAAGAGAGCTGTTTTCTTTTTGCTTGGATTGCTAACCTGGTGAAATGTAAGAGCCAAGGTAATAGTCATCCTGTTGCTACTGCAAGAGGAGAGCCGGCAGGGAGCCACGCCAACCCAGAAAAAAGCACAGCCCGGGGTGAAGAAAAACTGAGTCGGGACACCACTATGCAAACCTTTTACCCAGCCAAATCTAAGCCAGTACTAATATTGAACTTCTCAATACATGAACCAATAAATGTCCTTTGCACTTAAGCCAATATGAGTTGAATTTCTAACACTCACAAAAAAAGATCGACTGAATAGGCACATTTTTCAAAAAGTTTTCTGCCAGGGAGCTAGTTAACCAAAACCTAAATATTGAACCACCTTAAAATGTACATTTTCAAATTTTATTTAATAGGAAACAATTATATATGAAGAACAATATATTTCATATACATCTGTGATCTTTAAACCTGTTGAATCTGGTAATATGGGGAAAGTGTAGAACATACCTTGTGATGTTTCTTTCTTTTTGGATTGCTTCTATAGCAGGAGGTAGTGGTGGAGGATAAGGCACATCTTTGTTGTACTGAGAAATTTGACCACATAGGATGATGTGGCTGTTCTGATTCATCTGTTCAGAGAAAATTGATGATTATACCTTAAGATATATACCTTCCCTCTATTTAATGATCTTATGGCTGCCTCAATGAAAGCCTCCTTGATTCTAGTATTTAATCTTTCTTTCCTTTTTAATGGCTGCACCACACGGTCTGTGGAATCTTAGTTCCTATATCAGGGATTGAACCTGTGCCCTCGGCAGTGAAAGTGCACAGTCCTAACAACACTGTGGGTTAGGACTAAATACTATAAGGAATTCCCTATAGTATTTAATCCCTTAATGCTAATTAATTGATTTTGTTCTAAAGACTCACCCAGTATATATCAAAGAGTTTTAATTAGCTAGCAAATAAATCTACCCCAAAGTTTTTTCCAGTAGTCACGTATGGATGTGCAAGTTGGACTATAAAGAAAGCTGAGTGCCAAAGAATTGATACTTTTGAACTGTTGTGTTGGAGAAGACTCTTGAGAGTCCCTTGGACTGCAAGGAGATCCAACCAGTCCATCCTAAAGGAAATCAGTCCTGACTCATTTGAAAAGACCCTGATGCTGGGAAAGACTGGGGGCAGGAGAAGGGGACGACAGAGGATGAGATGGTTGGATGGCATCACCAACTCAATGGACATGAGTTTGAGTAAACTCTGGGAGTTGGCGATGGACAGGGAGGCCTGGTGTGCTACAGTCCATGGGGTTGCAAAGAGTCAGACACGACTGAGCAACTGAACTGAACTGAACTGAAAGGAATACAGAGGTAAAAATAAGATTTTGGTAATCTGCAAAAGAATTTCATTAGTTGTCATTGTCATCATTGTTGCTACTTCCATTATTATTGGTGGAGTATTTCTTTGGGTTTAAATAATTTAACCTCAATTGAAAATAATTTTACATATAGTAAAGGACAATGCAGTTTAAATAATTTAACCTCAATTGAAAATAATTTTACATATAGTAAAGGACAATGCAGTGTCAATAGCTAATGTTGATAAATTATAAAGCTGTCAATTAAAATATGCAAATACCTGTAAACTATAAAAATCCTTTCCCTACCCAAAGTCAGAGGGCGATGGCTGAGAGCTGATGGTTACAAGTGAGTTAGAGCTTAGACCTTCACTTGTATAATACAACTGTAATTTTTCACAAAAATAAAAGTGAAAATACAACATTGCTGGCAAAGAGCTAAAACTGATGCTCATAGTGCAAATCTGCAAACAAATGGAAACAGCTTCATCAAGCTCTTCTGTATCACTTAATTAGAATACTGACCATCATGTTGTTTTTCACCATAAACCCTACAAGTTTATAAAGTTTTTTTTCTTTCTCACTATCAGGTAAAAAGATATCACATCAAATAAAATGTAGCATTTAAATTTATAACCAAGTCAGAAAACAACCTGACTTATCACTGTATCACTGATGTCACCGCCAACATTGTCGAAGTAAACATCCACTCCAGCTGGGCATAATTTATGGAGTTGTTCTGCAACATTCCCCTCTTTATAATTAATTGCAGCATCGAAGCCCAATTCTGAGGTCAAAAAGAGGCACTTCTCAGGTGTTCCACAAATTCCCACGACTCTGGAACAGCCCAGCAAATGGCCAATCTAGGGGAGAAATTTTTGAAAATTAAACAACTTTCTCTTGTCACAATTTAAGTATAAAAATGTGAAAATATGAAAGATAATACAAGTTCCTATACGAAAGTGTTCATCACAATTTAGGCTTTTGTAAGTCTTTTCAAGAAAGGTAATTTGAAACCAAAAGAACTGAGAACAGATATAACAGCATTCTTAAAAACATTAAGACTGAATAAAATTAGACAATTTCAATGTTAAAATCTCACAATTTAAAGATGAGCTCATAAAAAGAACAGTCAAACCAAAAACATCTCTATCTTGCAATTCAATATTTTTTGGGCCTGTGAGGAACTAAAATCACTATTAAGATAAAATGTTTGTTTCTGTGGTTTCACACTTTGAAGGCTACTATTCATAAAATGGAGAAGGCAATGGCATCCCACTCCAGTACTCTTGCCCAGAAAATCCCATGGATGGAGGAGCCTGGTAGGCTGCAGTCCATGGGGTCGCTAAGAGTCGGACACGACTGAGCGACTTCCCTTTCATTTTTCACTTTCATGCATTGGAGAAGGAAATGGCAACCCACTCCAGTGTTCTTGCCTGGAGAATCCCAGGGACAGGGGAGCCTGGTGGGCTGCCGTCTATGGGGTTGCACAGAGTCAGACTCGACTGAAGTGACTTAGCAGCAGTATTCATAAAATAATGTACTTTGTAAAACTGTATCATAATGTTTACTATATCTTTGTTGCTGTTGTTTAGTAGTTAAGTCATGTCTGACTCTTTTGCAATCCCATGGACTGTAACTCACCAGGCTCCTCTGCTCATGAGATTTCCTAGGCAAGAATATTGGAGTGGGTTGCCACTTCCTCCTCCAAGGGATCTTCCCAACCCATGAATTGAACCCATGTCTCTGCGTGTCCTGCACTGCAGGCAGATTCTTTACCACGGAGTCACTTGGGAATATATTAACCTATCTCTAGAACCCAGTAAGTGCTTTCTTATTTGAAGATATTTTTAAAATATAAATTTATTTTTTCAATTCATGGAATTCCAGACAGGTACTCTGTGATTCTTCTCTTTCATATAGATTAGAGCAACGCTCCAGCATTTACCATGTCATTTTTGGTTAAAAGAGAATAAAATATAAAAAATCTACAACATTTTTCACATTATTAGGGAGAGAGTCTAAGCATGCAATAATATCATTTCTACCAAATATATGTAAAATAACATTACAAATTTGTTCAACTATTTTAAACTATATACACAAATCCAGAGATTCAGTTATAACCAGTTTTTTAGAAAATGAGATAATCCTCCAAAAGCTTACCTGCCCAGCCAAGGATCCACAAGCACCAGCAGCCCCACTAACAACCATTGTCTGATTAGATCCAGCAGTTATATGACCTTTTTCCTGTACCCCAATCAAGGAGGTCAAACCAGGCATCCCTATAGCTCCAAGAAAGTATGAAAGGTGTCCATTCACAAGCTGTGGGTCTACCTAAAATAAAATATATACCTTAAAAAAAATAACATTAGGAATTTCTGTCTTAGGTCAACAAAGTAGAGACAACCTATGACTTCATGAATATGAACTCCCCAAATTCCTATGTTAAAAGACCTAACTCTTTCAGTGTGACTGTATTTGGAGATAGGGTCTTTAAGGAGATAATTAAGGTTAAATGAGGGCATCAGGGAGGGGCCCTAATCTGATAGGACTTAGGGCCTTAGAAGAGGAAGGGCCACCAGAGATCTGTTTCTCAGCAGTTACACAGAAGCAAGGCTGGATGCTGTGTGAGGATACAGGGAGAACAGGGCCGTCTGAAAGCCAGGAAGAGAGGCTTCACCAGAGACCAAACTTTCCAGCATCTTGACCTCAGACCTCTAGCCTCCAACTCTGTAAGAAAAGAAATTTCTACTGTAATAATAAATTTCAGTCCATTGTATTTTGTAACAACAGTTCAAGCAGTTCAAGTGGACTAATAAACAGCCCAACATGAACGATAAACCAATTTTCAGTCTGTCTTGCCAGTGTCTCAAATATATCAAAAGAGAAGAAACACTTAACAGGAAAAACTACACAATATTGGAAGGTTTAAAAATCTCTGAGCAATTTCAGAGTAAACACTTCTCTGTATAAAAGTCAGCTCAAACTCTTTAACAGTTCTCGTTGCTGATACTTCAAATGTTTCATGAAAATATAAGAAAGGTATGATACAATTTCTTCTCAGTTAATTACAGAATAATAAAATAAGGTCTCTCAGCTTTTCAACATTTTACACTTATATGTTTATCAGGCCCAATCAATAGTTAATTGTACATCTCTTACATTTTCTGTCTCTTTTCTTACCTCTAACATTATGGGAAAATGAAAAAAAAATTATATAGAAAGACTCTCTACCATAAAAGTTTTATAATAATTTTAGAGATTAAAAATGTAACAAACCACCAAAAGTAATCAAGATTCACCACCTTGATTTGCAATTAAACTGCCACAAAGAAAAAAAATGGCAGTTTGTAATCAGTTTTAAATGGCTATCAGTCAAGTCTGATGTGTAGATAAAGGTAATGGCAATATTAAAGTCTACAATACACAGAAAGGTCTACAGTACACTATACAGAAATTTAGTGGTTTGGTGGTTTAGTTGCTAAGTCGTGTCCGACTCTTGTGACGCCATGGACTGTAGCTTGCCAGGTTCCTCTATCCACGGGATTTTTCCAGGCAAAAATACTGAAGTGGGTTGCCATTTCCTTCTCCAAACACAGAAATATATCCTGTAGGTAAGTTATTTATTAGTAAAGCCAGTAAAAAAACATTGTGAGATAAGTTGTGTTTAGTAAATATCATTTTTCTGTCCTTTCTGAATTCCTCTTCCTCATTTCTAATACCTACTCCCCAAACATTTTTAAGCTCTCCCCAACTTCCCAATTTCCCACTATATCACTATGCCAGGAAAAGCTAGAAACTGCCTAATGTTCCTTTTTCACTTCCTACTAAGAAATTTCTAGTTAAACGTCATTTATTAGTACCATTGATAAATGATTGTGTAATGTCTCCCATATCCCTTGTATCTTAACAGCCACTTTTAACTAACTGTAAGAATTTGTAATCATAAAAAATACTAAAATTGTATAAAGTTTTTTACAAAGCCTTAATCACATTTATTATAACTAAATTTAATTTAAATTAATTCTAATTTAATTAAATTCTCACATTCACTGGTGAGATAGCTATTGTTTTCATTTTGCACATGAGGAAACTGAGGTTAGAGACATACTGTAACTTCCTTGATGACAATTATTAGGCTGCGTTACATGAAGCTGCCAGTTTTTGTAGGTCAAAACAGACAAATACTGGTAATTTCACATGACTCAACCAAACAGTAGAAACCGAACTCAAGACTTCTGCCACAGGATGGAATTTCAAGCACAAACCAAATGGATTTCTTGAGTCAAATGGTAATTGCTTGTTGTTGCTGTTCAGTCACTTATATGTGTCCAACTCTGCAACCTCATGGACTGCAGCACTACAGGCTTTCCTGTCCTTCACTATCTCTGGAGTTTGCTCAGACTCATGTCCATTGTGTCAATGATGCTACGCAACCATCTCATCCTCTTTCGGCCCCTTCTCCTTCTGCCCTCAATCTTTCGCAGCATCAGGGTATTTTCCAATGAGTGAGCTCTTTGCATCAGATGGACAAAACATTGCAGCTTTCTTATTTAACTATAAAGGGCATTCTGGTTCTTAGTATAAAGCATTTTTTGATGCTTATAGCTCAGGTTTTATTTTATACATGTAAATTTTGAGAATTAAATATGGAAAACAACATCATTCATTGGCAATCTAAGAACTGTCATATATAGTTACAGCCAACAATGGAAGAGGAATAAAGGCTTTTCACATTCTGACAGCTATCTAAAAAGAAAACATATGCTTTTTATTTTTTCCCTGACAGCAAACAAAACCAAACACCAAATGCACAAAGAAGGAATAACAAGAGAGAAAAATCAGATACTTTATATCACACATCACCTTTTCAAGGATATTTCCATCCAGAATAACCTTGGTTTGCCAGGGCCAATAGAAGGAAGTCACAAAATCGCCTTTCATAAAATTTGTGTGTTTGCTTTCTTCTATAATCCCAACACCTCCACCATCAACCACCTGAGACAGCTGCCAAGGTGTTATATAGTCACTGCCAGTGTCTTCATTCATTCTACAACGCTAAAAAAAGAAACATAGATTGGGATACTTCTGTCTGATAATACTGAACCAGTTTACTTATTTACCCAGTGATTAAAAGTAAGTATATAATTCAGTAATATTAAGTACAGTGTTAGCCATCAAAACTTATCTTAATTTCTCTCTTCCTTTCAGTTATTTTTTATCCTGAAAAAAACAAGAAGTGAAATTTAAAAAGAATTTAATGAACCTAGAGCCCATTATATAGAATGAAATAAATAAGAAAGACAAATTTCATATATTAATGCGTATATATATATGGAATCTAGAAAGATGGTACTGATGATCCTATTTAGGGGGCAGCAAAGGAGACACAGATGTAAAGAACAGACTTACCGTCACAGTGCGGGAGGGAGAGGGTGGAATGACTTGAGAGAGTAGCACTGAAACATATATATTATGATATGTAAAATAGATAGCTAATGGGAATTTTCTGTAAGATGCAGGGAACCCAAAGCCAGTGCTATGTGATAACCTGGAGGAATGGGATGAGGAGGGAGGTGGGAAGGAGGTTTAAGAAGGAGGGGACCTATGGCTGATTCATGCTGATGTATGGCAGAAGTCATCACAATATTGCAAAGTAATTATCTTCCAATTAAAAATAAAATAAAATTTTAAAAATAAAAAAGAATTTAAGGAGCTTTTCTAGTGGCTCAGTGGTAAAGAATCTGCCTGCCAATGTAAGAGACAAGGGTTTGATCCTTGGTCCAGGAAGATTCCGCATGCCATGCAGCAACTAAGCCTGTGTGCCACAATTATTGAGCCTGTGCTCTAGCACCCAGGAACAGCAACTATTGAGCCCACTTACCACAGCTGCTGAAGCCTTCAGCACCCTAGAGTCCGTGCTCCACTACAAGAGAAGCCACCGCAATGAGAAGCCTGTGCACTGCAACACACAGTAGACCAACACCCTGCCACCCCACACCACAACCCCGCTCTACCCCTGCAACCAGAGAAAGCCTTTGTGCAGCAACGAAGAGCCAGCACAGCCCAAACTGAATAAATAAATAAATGATTTTTTAAAGTATTTGGGAGGATATGTGTAGCTTCTATGTAAATTCTATGCCCTTAAAAAAAAAAAAAGAATTTACATTCTAAAATTAGATTGTGGTGAACAGACAACTTTGTGAATGAACTAACAACTATTGAATTATACATTTTAAATGTGTGAACTGTATGACATGTGGATTGTGTATGTGTGTGTGTGTGTTAGTCGCTCAGTAGTGTCCAACTCTTTGTGACCCCATGGACTATATCCTGCCAGGCTCCTCTGTCCATGGGGATTCTCCAGTCAAGAATACTGAAGTGGGTTGGCCTTGCCTACTCAAAGGGATCTTCCTGACCCAGGGATTGAACCCATGTCTTTTATGTCTCCTGCATTGGTAGGTGAGTTCTTTACCACTAGCACCACCTGGGAAGCCCCTCTTAAATAATTAAAGAAATTTATGTTCTATATGCTAGCATAATACAAGATTCTGTATCAATGGTTTCAATGGGTTGTAGCAAATTAGGTACACTGACATGTTGCTGATAATATTATAAAACATCCATTTTTCATAGAAAACAGACTTGCAACATATAGACCATAATACTACCATTTCTTCAGTTGAGCAATACTGCTTCCACAATGGAAATAACCCAACAGAGAAATGAAACAGTTTTTATACAGCTGTTCATCAAACTTCAGGCCAAGTACTACATCATCCCCCCTAACTTCAGATGGATGTTCTCTTTATTCAGAGACAAAGTGTCACCGCAGTACCACACCCTTCCGAAGAACTAGGGCTAAAGACTTCTCTGGGAGGCAATCAAGGCTTTCTTCCTCTCTGTGGCTCATTCTTGCCTCTCTAAGGCCAAGATGTACAAGCCTACAGTGTGGTCCAGGAGATGAAAGAGATGGAAGGCTGCTCCATCAAGGGGCCCTACATGGTCTGATTCAGTTCACCAGGGTAAAATACCACATGGCATATTGATGCCAAAGCTCCGGTGGGGATATACTACACTTCTGCTTATGTGCCCTTCCCATATATCCTTTTAATTTTTTTAAGATTTAAAAAGAAACTATTTATTTTTGGCTATGCTGGGTCTTCACCGCTGCACAGGTGCTTTCTCCAGTTGCAGAGAGTAGGGGCTACTCTTTAGTTGCAGTGTATGGGCTTCTCATTGTGGTGGCGTCTCCTGTTGTGGAGCATGGGTTCTAGGACATGGGGGCTCAGTAGTTGTGGCACATGGGCTTTAGTTACCCCAAGTATGTGGAATCTTCCCAGACCAGGGATGAAACCCATGGCACCTGCATTGGCAGCAGATTCTCAACCACTAGACTACCAGGGAAGTCCCCACATATTCTTCAAAGCAAGTGCAGCAGCCATCGGATACTGGCCACACCAAGCACCTGATTCTTAAGGCTAATGGAAAAAGTGGGAAGGAGTAATTCCCCATAGGTAGGTGAATGATGTCAATAAGATAAAATGTTATACAACCAGCAAAATAATATTTCGACTAATTTCTCATATGAGGATATGAATATAAAATCACAAATATGAAATTAAAATAGTATATACATATTAAATATAACCATGTAAAATATAGTACATACATAGTGATTAAAATCAGTCATAAATTTGGAATGATATAAAATTTCAATAACTTAATGCTCAGCAGATTCCTTTTTTCCCTTTAAAGATATTTATGTCTCTTTTTTTAAAGAATACTTTTTAAAAAATATTTATTTGGCTGTACCAGGTCTTAGTTGTGGCATGTGGGATCTAGTTCCCTGACCAGGGACTGAACCCAGGATCCCTGCAGAAAGCCTCAGAGTCTTAGCCACTGGACCACCAGGGAAGCCCCACTTATGTCTCTTTTTTTTTTTTAAGAACAGTGTCTAGTGAAAGCAACCAAAGTAATTTTCTTCCTTCTTTTAATTCATATTTAATAAGCACTTATGCTAGTCACTGGAGATACAGGGATAAATAAGACCTCTGTCTTAATAAGTTTTTATTAGGGAAAATAATATCTGATAACTAAATAAATAATTATTAATTAAAACTGGGATACATGCTGAAGGTCAAGGTATTTTTGAGAAAATCTAATAGAGAGGAATAGTCTGAGGGTTAAGGGTGATTTGCCAAAGTAAATCTCTTTAAAGCATAAAGCAGGCTTCTAGGGAATAAGAGGGGTTGGTCAGAGAAAGCGAAAGGAAGTTTTTAGATATGGAGGCTTGTTTTAGTGTGTACCCATAATTTTGGTTTTTTTAAATTATTATTTATCTATTTATGGGACTTCCCTGGTGGTTCAGTGGTTGACATTCTGAGCTCCCAATGCAGAGGGCCCAGGTTTGATCCCTGGTCAGGGAACTAGATCCCATATGCTGTAACCAAGAGCTCACATGTTGTAACTGAGACCTGGCGCAGCCAAATAAATAAAAAGAAAAAGAAAAAAAAAGAAAAAAATTATTATTTATCTATTTATGTCCGTGTTGGGTCTTCAATGCTGCATGCTGGCTTTTTCCAGTTGTGCTGGCTTCCCTTACTGCAGAGCTCTAGCTCTAGGGCATGGGCTCAGTAGTTGTGGCACATGGGCTTAGTTGCCCTGAGGCATGCGGGATCTTCCTGGACCAGGGATCAAACCTATGTCCCCTGCACTGGCAGGCAGAGCCACCAGGGAAGTTCCCAGAATGTTGTTTTAATCAGTTATTGTAATATGAGAGACATAGATACCACTGCCTTGAAAGAAGAATTTCTTATAACACCCTAGAGAAAAGGCATATCCTATCACACAGGGTCACATGGGAAAGCACCAGAGTCTGGAGGCAAAAGCAGGAAGAGGACAGCATGGTCCGCTCTTTATTGTGGCTTCCAGGAAGAGCAGGTAAGGCAGGGCAGACGAGCTTGAGTACATTAGAATTGGACAGACTGAATAACTTCAGTGGGCTGTGGCTCATAGATGTGTTCCTAGTCGTCTGGCACCTAGCCCTTGGGTGATTTAGGGTGAGGTGTGAGAGTTAGATGAAGGAGGTGGCTGGAAATATGGGCTTTAAGTTGATTGGTTTACATATGAAAGGTGTGTCCCATGAAAATTGTTTATTATCTCTAAAAATCAGCTAGCACTGAGAGGGGCAGTCTCTCCAGGATTAGCAAGGCCCCTAAGAGGTCAAAGCATCATAAAATACAGAAAATGATTTTATGATAAATCATAAAATACAGAAAGACATGATTAATACAAGGTCTAAGCCAAAAGGCGCACTGGTGTGTTACACAAGAATGAAGTCCAGCGAGGTGAGGGTCAAAGGGTACAGTGAGGCTGGGCAGGCAAACAGGGGCCACAGTCTTAGACCATGTCCAGAAAGTTAATCTTTATCCATTACTAAAACCATTACTTAAACCATTATCTTATAAGTAACTTATAATCTTATAAATCTTATAAACCATTATCATATAAGTTAAGTAACTTATCCAATAATGGAAGTGTTAAACCATTTTAAGCTAGCTGACATGAATAGTTGCTATTACAAAACATTATTACAAAAACATTACTCTGGCTGCAGTGTGAAAGATGGTATAAGAGGTCAAAGAGCCTATGCAAGGATACCCCAACAGGAGAGAAACAATGGTGATTTAGACTAGGTAGATATCTTTCGAGTTTACTGAGAAGTGGACTGAACTGAGAAGGATTTATTAGGGGGGACCCACAGGACCTGAGAAGGGGACAACAGAGAATGAGATGGTTGGATGGCTTCACCAACTAGATTGACAAGAATTTGAGCAAGCTCTGGGAGTTAGTGATGGACAGGGAAGCCTGGAGAGTTGCAGTCCATGGGGTCACAAAGAGTCGGACACAACTGAGCGACTGAACTGAACTGAACTGAACAGGACCTGAAGATTGAGAGACAGACACGGAGAATGAAAAGACAAACTTCTAAAGAAGGATTCAGTGCTTTCTAGCATGAAATGAGTAGATGGAGGAGCTATTTACTTCTCTGGAGGAAAAAGAGGTTTTGTTTGTTTGCTTGCTGTTTTGAGGTTGGGGTATTTAGAAGTAAAAATCATTAATTCATGTCATAATCCTTGTTGTTTCATCATTTCCCCACCCCTAAAATCTTTGGGTCATAAATTTCTCTCACTCTAAGAGTCTCAAAGGGAATTCTGCTGAATGGGAAGTTTGTTCCAACTCAAAAAACTCTGTGAAGAACACTTCCTTTTTTGTTTTTCAACTACAGCTGACTCTTGAGCAACACAAGAGGTTAAGGACACCCTAGGTCAAAAATCCATGTAAATCCATTTATAACTTATAGTCAGCCCTCTCTAGCTGTGGTTCTGCATCCTTGATTCACATTGTGTAGTGCTACAGTATATATTTAGTGAAAAAAAATCCCCACGTGAGTAGACCCCTGCAGCTCAAATCTGTGTTGTTCAACGATCAACTGTACTTCTATCTGCTCTGTTTGATTTTTTAAATACTTCTAAAAAAAAAAAAAAAAGACAAAAAACCCAAACACTTCTAACTTGGAACCCGGGCTTTATTTTATTCTCTTAATTTACTTTGTATTTATTATCCTGGGCTTAAGTGATATTCTTTACACTGTGTTCACTAGGGCATGTGTAATACTTAGATGCTCTGAGCTAGGTGTTTTTACACTGAAGTATAAAAAAGTCTTAATAAATCTGAACCAGTCATCATCAGGAATTGACTCTGAATACTAGATACTGCACTGTCATTTTCCTTATGAATTTGTGATAATTATTCTCCTTAAGTGATCCACTCTGCACCATCTAGAGTGACAAGGCCCATAGCGTGCCTGAGCTTGCCTTGGCTGAAAGAGGGCACATCTTTAGGTCCGTGGGAAATGAGTGACCTATTTCACTCCTCTGTTTCAACTTGAAAATTTGTCTATTTAGAACATGTTAGATCAATAATCACCTCATTTCCCTAGCCCATAAAGAAAAACTTCTTGCTGCCCCTGGGAAGAATTCTGAATGAAGTCATCAAGATGCAGTCCACTGTAAGCATAAGCAAGTGTGACAGGTCTAAAACTGGAAGATAAAGCCTAGCTACAGTCATGGATCCAAAGGAAGAGGAACCTTCCGGAGGCTCCAACTGTTCTGGCAGAAGGTGATACTGCCATTTGGGTCCCCATTGTAAGTGCAGCCTGAGAAGAGATAAGCCAGGGTTCTGTTTATCTTCTACAAGGGCATTCTAGAAGCCAAAATGAGGAAGCAAACATATGCATAGAAACTGTAATGCTCTTTGCCCAACTTCTACTTTTCACAAATCAATATATAGGAGCTTTCTACATAGCAGACATTATTATCTTTTTGTTGTTGTTGTTATTTTTACTGCAAGTTTGCCATTTAACTTTTAATGTTGTATGTACTGTTTTATTGTGTTTAAATACAGTATTTTTTTAAGTCACATTTATCACTCATGTTCTTTCATATTATCTGGGTTTGCTGTCATTTTAGGAAGTCTCTCATTTTCCAACATTATTCAATTGTTCAGCCGTATTTTTCCTAAAATTCTTCATGGTTTCTTTTATTCCTTTCACTTTTCATTATCTGTTGGAATTTATTGTGATGCAGGAGTTGAGCTAAGGATGTAATCTTTTCCCCCAATTCAGTCAACTGATCTAACACAGTTTAAAGAATAAGCAATTATATTCTCTTTTTATTTTAATAAACACTCACAGGCACTAGTTTGTACCACAAAACTAGGACAAAGAAGAGCAGAAATTAATGAAACAGGCAATAAAAAAACAGAAAACTAGAAAACCACAAGTTGGTCCTTTGAAAAGGCTAACAAAATTGACAAAGCTTTAGCTAGACTTGATGAGGAAAAAAATAAACAAGACTTCAACTATTAAAATCAGGAAATGAAAGAAAGGACATTACTACTACTTACCTTTCAGAAATAAGGAAGGATTATAAGGCAATCCTAAGAAAAACTATATGCCAATAAATTACACAACTTAGATGAAATGGACAAATTCTCAGAAAGACACAAACTACTAAAGTTGACTCAACAAGACACAGAAAATATTACCAACCTACAACAAACAAAGACATTGAATTAGTAACTTTCAAACTTTCCAAAAAGAAAAGCCAAGGCCAGATGCTTTCATTGGAAATTCTACCAATCTTTTAAAGAAAAATTAATACCTAGTCTTCATAAACTCTTCCGAAAACAGAAGAGGGAACACTTTCCAACTCATTTTATGAGGCCATATTACCAAAACCAGACAAACACAAAAGAAAACAATGAATATAGTCTTATGAGCTTATGGATGCAAAAAGCCTCAACAAAACAATAGTGAAATAAATCTAGCAACATATCAAAGGAAAGGAACTACACAGCAGGACCAAGTGGGATTTTTTTTTCTCCAAGAATGCAGGATTGGTTTAACATCTGAAAGTCAATTAATATAATAAACCATATCAATGAATTAAAAGACAAAAACCACACAATCATTTCAATAGAAGCAGAAAAAGCATATGACAAAATCCAAATCCCCCTTTTGGGGGAGGAGTTAATTGGGATTTTATTGTTTAATGAGCATAGAGTTTCTGTTTAAGATGATGAGCAAGTCCTGGAAACAAAAAGTGCCAATGGCTGTACAACACTGTGAATGCCCTTAAATATACACTTCAAAATAGTTACAATAGCACCCTTTATATTTACATGCATGTTACCACAATAAAAATTATCCACTATCCCTTGATGATAAAAACAATAAAAAAAACAAGGAATAGAAGGAAATCTCTTCAGACTAGATAAAGGGCATCTAGAAAAATCCCATAGCTAACAACAAGCTTACTGGTGAAAGACTGAATGTTTCCCCCTTAAGATCAGGATCAAGCAAGGATGTCCGCTCTTGCCACTTATAACACTATATTCGAGGTTCTAAGTCAGGGTAATAGGCAAGAAAATGAAACAAAAAGGATCCACTAGGAAAGCAAGAAGTAAAACTATCCATGTTTATAAAGCCTAAGTTCATGTGCATCCAAGTACTGCATTTCAGACTCTTTTGTTGACCATGATGGCTACTCCATTTCTTCTAAGGGATTCCTGCCCACAGTAGTAGATATAATGGTCATCTGAGTTAAATTCACCCATTCCAGTCCATTTTAGTTCACTGATTCCTAGAATGTTGATGTTCACTCTTGCCATCTCCTGTTCGACCACTTCCAATTTGCCTTGATTCATGGACCTAACATTCCAGGTTCCTATGCAATATTGCTCTTTACAGCATGGGAGCTTGCTTCTATCACGAGTCACATCCACAACTGGGTATTGTTTTTGCTTTAGCTTCATCCTTTCATTCTTTCTGGAGTTATTTATCCACTGATCTCCAGTAGCATATTGGGCACCCACTGACCTGGGGAGTTTCTCTTTCAGTATCCTATCATTTTGCCTTTTCATACTGTTCATGGGGTTCTCAAGGCAAGCATACTGAAGTGGTTTGCCATTCCCTTCTCCAGTGGACCACATCCTGTCAGACCTCTCCACCATGACCCATCCGTCTTGGGTGGCCCTGGGCGTTCACTGGAAGGACTGATGCTGAAGCTGAAACTCCAATACTTTGGCCACCTGATGCGAAGAGCTGACTCATTGGAAAAGACCCTGATGCTGGGAGGGATTGAGGGCGGGAGGAGAAGGGGACGACAGAGGATCAGATGGCTGGATGGCATCACTGACTCGATGGACATGAGTTTGGGTAAATTCCAGGAGTTGGTTATGGACAGGGAAGCCTGGCGTGCTGCGATTCATGGGGTTGCAAAGAGTTGGACACGACTGAGCGACTGAACTGAAGTTCATGTGCCTGATGGCTTCTCAGCTGTAGACCTAGGCAACATATAACTTCTTTTCAATAAACCTCCTTTATCTGGAAGTAGCATCAGTGAGTTTGTTCCTTTCAAAAGACACCTACTAGAATAAAGAGTTTGTACAGAGTCTGAGAGGATTTCCCATCTTAATTTACTATCTCAAGTTTTACTTAGTACTAGGAAGTGATCTGGACTATTGAAAGACACTGACTAATCACATGCACTACTATTATGAAAACATTCCTTCTGTAACATTCCTTAATAACACCAGTGAACAAACACAAAGGTAATTTGTAATTTACAGGTATCAAGATATATTGCTCAAATATTTATTAATCATGAGGATTATACAATAAAATTCAGATATAGGACCTCCTTGGTGGTCCAGTGACTAAGACTCTGCGGTCCCAATGCAGAGAACCTGGGTTTGATCCCTGGTCAGGGAATTAGATACTGCATTCTGCAGCTAAGATCCAGCTCAGTCAAGATAAATAAATAAATATTTTTAAAATAAAAATAGTAAATAAGTTTTAAAAATAAAATAAACTTCAGATGCAACATGAAAAAATATGGATATAAAATTATTTTCACAAGATCACAAAACCTTGATTCTTACCATGTAAGGATCCACGGAAAGATAAAGAGTTCTGACTTGTACTTGTCCTTCATTGACACAATCTGGTAAGTTTACTTCTTCTACTCGGAAATTTTCTGCCACTGGATGACCATTTTTTCCTAAAATATTAGACGAAGATATAAAATCAAAAAGGCATTTTCCCATAGAGTTATTTATTATTCTTTATATGGTCACTCTAGGACTTACAGCACTCCCTAAATACACACGTGAATAAATCTACTGCTTTGAAATTTCTCTGTAGATCAGCATAAATTCTTCAGTTTCAACTGCTCTTGGCTTTCTCCAAGAAGTTCCTTTGGCATGTTGCTATCAATGTCAAAATCTTTTTTAAGGTAAATCACCTCATCTGTTACAAAATTATAAAAGGATTTCAAAAAGCAAAAAAGCACAGCCAGTTTTTTTTTAACTAGGAAAATTAAAATTTACAAGGTAGCAGAAACACCGTATTAGCCAAAGTAAACCGGTAAACTATCCTTCCTCATTTTAAGATGACAACAGAAATTTAAATGAATATAATCAAAACTTCCTATTCATTTTTTCAAATTTATTTATTTTTAATTGAAGGATAATTGCTTTATAGCATTGTTTTGGTTTCTATCAAACATCAACATGAAAAACTTCCTGTTCGTTGAATCATCAAATTTCTAAAGCAAAAACGGAATGCAGACATTTTAATCGAATTGCTCTCTAAAACTGAGAAAAGATAAGTGTCGTCCCCAGGCCACATGCTAGGTAAACACCAAAACCAAGGGAGCATAGGCCCAAACCTCTCAGGTTACTTCCACACCTAAGCTTCTGTGGTTCAGGTTAGATGTCGGGTATCTGACTTATGATGCAACAGGTCAGTGACTTTCACATAAAACAGAAAAGCACATCTTTAAGAATCAATATTACACATTATAAACAAAAAACAAAAGCCAAATATATTTGTAATACAATCTTCTAAATATTGTAATAACTTTAAAATACCTTATTTCTTCAACAAGTGGCCTTGATAATTATTTAAAAAATGATAATATGGTTTAAAGAAATTCCTCTAAGATCTCAACTAGTGTTAATATCTTCCTGCCTTCACTTACCACAACGACATTATATTACTACTTTTTGTTACTCCATTTGCATTAATAATTATTAAAGACCACAGCTGTTCAGACAAATACATCACAGACATCACAGACAAATACATACCAGGTCTGGAATTCAATACTACTCTTTGTACAATCATCACCTTGTTTGCACAGCGGTCTCACAAGACTTCTGTATAAAATAACTCCTATAAATAGAAACATTTTAAATCACAAGAAAGTAATGATATATTCAACAATTTAAAAGCTAAAAAAAAAAGTACACTTGTGTTTCTGAACAAGGAAAGGAAAAATCATATTTAGGATCCAAAAAAGATTATAGTTTCCTGTCAGAGTTTGCCTCCTAAAGCAAGTATGTGAAAAAGACTAAATCTAATTAGAATATTTGGCTAACAGGAACAAATTTACTGAAGATTGAGTAGAACAAAATGTTTTAGCCTCATAATTCAAGCACACTCATCTTCATGTCATCATGATTAAGGCTCCTACTGTGGCTTGATTAAAAGAAAACAATATGACATATTCCTCTAGAGTTAGCCAGTTAATCTACTATTTAACTGCGATGTAACCACATTTTTTAAAACTCTTTTATTTATCAAAACAGAAATTTCTTAATAGTTTTGCTGATTATAAAAGTAACATATCAAAAGCATTTTAAAATCCTCACCTTCTAGGAAGTTATGTAACGCAGGATGACTAAGTAAATGAAAAAAGATCAATTTATTCTGGGTTTACAATTTGAGCTAATGAAAGAAGTAAAATGAAGTTTCAGTGCTGGCACTATCTGACTTGGACCTTCTTACTTTATCCATCACTAAAAATGAAAACAGACTGTTAATGTTACTCTGTGTACCAAGGACTGTTATGCTATGAAATATACATATATACCTGCACATACATATTCATATAGTATTTAATATATTTAATTTAACAATTCTATTAGGTGTTTTTATTATTATCCCCAATTTATAGATGAGGAAAATGAGTCTTAAAGGGCTTAAGCACTTTTCTAAGGTGGTGCTGTATGCACTCTGTTTCATCACAGCAGGAACTCTATAATGTCTTATAGGGCTAAATATATTTTTAAAAGAAGATCTTCTGTTGAATCACCTTGTGCATAAATTACGCAGGGGTTAAAAAACAAAGTTTTCCAAATTGACACCGGATTCAAAGAAAACTGACCTTAAGTGGTGTTTAACAACACCATGATAGCTAAATTTTCAACCAAAGGAGTCTTTTCAAATGAGGTTTCATATCTGTCACCCTTTTCTCTAATTACTTTCAATGTATGCTTTATTTCTTCAAATGATGCACACAGTAGCCTTGTCCAAATACTCCTTATCAGCATGAAAAGTGAACTACTAGTCTTTCCCTCTGTATTAAATTAGAAAGTTTTCAAGTGCCAAACACTACAATTAACTAATGTAGGATAATCGTGCAGTATCTCTCAATAGCACAACAAACAACACATTCAAAAAAAGATATTTAGTTCCAAAATTAAAATCTAAAATATGATATACCAGCTCTAGATCTGAAAGAAGGGTGGTGGTGGTGTTAAATTCACCCCAAATGGGAGGAGAAAAACGGAAGTCCTTATTGACTGACATCAAGCAAACCATATTCACCAGGTATGACATAAAGTAGGTTCTTAATTGGTGGTAAGCAATATTCCCTGGTGGCTCAGGCCATAAAGAATCCACCTGCAATACAAGAGACCTGGGTTCAATCCTGGCGTTGGGAAGATCCCCTGGAGAAGGGTATGGCAACCCACTCCAGTTCTTGCCTGGGGAATCTACATGGACAGAGGAGCCTGGTGGGCTACAGTCCACGGGGTCACAAAGAGTCGGACATGACTGAGCGACTAAGCACAGCACAGCACAATATTCCAAAATAATACAAGATCAATTATCAACTGAAAAATTCTAGCACCCCTTAAAAAGAGTGTTATCTGAATGTCTACCTTGCAGCCTAATATAAGGGGAAGGGCACCGAACTAGGAAGAGTAGACTACATGTCCTGCTTCTAATCACCTAGGATTTGGGGAAAGTTCCTTCTCTCAGCCTGTTTCCTGAATGTTCTTAAGTGCCAAGACTAAGGACTTAATAGCCATTGGCTCCTTTAACCCGCCACCCAACGACCCTCTGAGGACAGTACTGTTACTGTTCCCATTTTATAGAGGAGGAAAAAGAGGCACAGAGGTTGAATAACTTGCCCATGATCACACAACTGATAATGAAGACACTGCGTTGGCTAAGTCACTTCAGTCCTGTACCACTGTTTGCGACCCTATGGACTGCAGCCGGTTAGACTCCTCTGTCCAAGGGATTCTCCAGGCAAGAATACTGGAATGGGTTGCCATACCCTCCTCCATGTATTTTAAGAGAAGATCCAGGGATCCAGGGATTCCCGACCCAGGGATCAAACAAGAGTCTCTTATGTCTCATGCATTGGCAGGCAGGTTCTTTACTACCAGCGCCACCCGGGAAACCCAACGAAGACACTAGTGTGTTAGTCTCTCAGTCCTGTCCAACTCTTTGCAACTCCATAGACTGTGGCCCAACAGGCTGCAAACACAACACACACCACTGCCATAACAGGAGCTTCCTAACACCTTTAAAAAAAAAAAAGGGGTTCTCTATCATGATCTAGCTCAATTATTCACCACAAATGACTATTGCCCAGGGTATTATTACCAAAGGTGTAAATCTCTGGGATTTCCTCCACTTTCTGAGATGACGGCTCTCCTCTCCTTTGATATTTCTGGTTTCCTTCTTCCTTTCCCCAAGTCTAGTATGTGGGGATTCCTGATTGGATCTTTGTTTTCTCACCTTCCTCTAGGGCTCCCACCACCAACCACTCACGCCTATGTAAATTACTAAAAAAAATTCTTCAGCCCAAAATTTCAAACTGATTTCCCAGAATATTAGCACCACAAAGGCAAGGGGCTCATGCCTGTTTAGTTCAGTGATTTATGTTCACCCTCTATGCCTGGCACATAGTAGGTGCCCATTAGTGTTAGTCACTCAGCTGTATCCCGACTCTTTGCGACCCCATGGACTGTAGCCCACCAGGTTCTCCGTCCATGGGAGTTGTCCAGGCAAGAATACTGGAGTGGGTTTCCATTTCCTTCTCCAGAGGCTCTTCCCAACCCAGGGATCAAACCCAGGTCTCCTGCATTGTGAGCGCTTTCTTACTGACTGAGCCAGCAGGGAAGCCCAGGTGCCCATTAAATATCTGCTAAATGAACGTCCCAAGGGCACCTTAGACATGTCTCTGGCCAAACTTCAGGTGGCTTTTGTTGTTCAGTCGCTCAGTCGTGTCCGACTCTGCGACCCCATGGACTGCAGCACACCAGTTGCTTACTACCAACAATTCTTTTTAAAAAGAAAAAAAAAAAAAAAAAAGCCCTGCTTCTCCTCAAGCATTGCCTATCCCAGTGACCTAAGCAATGATGCCAAGGTCTCGCCAGCCCCGGGAGGAAGCCGGGACGCTCTCCCGGAGAGCAAGGGGCCCGCCCCTGTTCTCCTCCATCCTCTTCCCCCAGAAGGCCCGACCCACACGCGGGAACCCCACCCTTAACAGCCCGGACCGGCGGCGCCTAGCGCCTCACTCACCGCTGACGAGCTCGGGAGGAAGTCTCGCAAGCTTTGCGGAAATCTGCACGGGTCTAGCCGGGCGACCTCTGCCCTCCGGCCGCAGTACGCAGGCGCACTAGACCTCGGCTCTTCACCTCTGTCCCTGCCCAGGGGCGGGCTTTTGGAATTTAGGCTGGGACGGTGCGGACATCTGGAAACTAGTCACATGTCTGGGCGAAGTGTATTAATAAGTTAACCGGGATTGGTGCCCTGTGGCTGCCCCTATTGGCAAGACACAAAGAACAAACCGTTCATCCTTGACCAGTGGGTTCATTTCCAGCAGGCCCTAGAAGGAATTTTGTATTATGGATTTCTCCCTGAGCTTCGGATTGGAAAATCACAGCCAGTTCACAGGCCCGACAAGTCTACCCTTCTTTTTATAGACTGAGGAAATTGAGACACAGAGAACTGCTGTGATTGGATCATCCACCTTTCAGCTGGTTAGGGACAGTGCTGGAGTTTATATATAGTCTCTCCAGACTGCTGGCCCAGGACCCCTTCCCTTACAACAGGGCTGTCTTTTCTTTCCCAAAGAACCCTAATTTATTAGCTGAAAGATGGATTATCCAGTGTGAGCTGGTTTCTCTATTTCATAGTTGTTAACTACCGTGTTTTGTGTTGAACTAGGTTGAGCAAGACTTGTTCCTGGGAGACCTGGGCTCTCCAAGGACTTCAAACCCTAAGGGAGTCCATTCTGAATTAGATAGGTGCAATAACTGCTATTTATATTTTATTCACATCAGAACTAATAGCTCAATATAAATCATAGTACTTAGAAGCTGAAAGATGACTAGGATGGTGAGCAAGGGTATAAGAATCATTAAACAGCCTGGAGCACTTGGTAGTTGCACCTTTGAGCTTTTTACTTCTTTGGAAAAGTTTCTGGAAAGGGCTGGAAGGATCACTACTCCAGAGAAAGTGTCTCCCTTCAGCCACAGCCTAAAAGCTACTAATGGCCTGCCCTATCCTGGCAGAACCTCCCATAAATTGAGCTGGGGTGGTGGAGGAGATAGGAGTAGCTCCCAGCCAAAACACTTCAGATTCCACTGTTCTTACCTGAAATTTCAGCAGTTTACCTCAAGTGTAAATGTTTCTTGGATTGTTACATGCCCTTGGTGACTTTCCAGAGCACAAGCTGGTTGTTTATGTTAATTTTGTCCCACTTTATAGTTTGGTTTTGTGGGGAGTGGATTTGCCAATCTCGTATTTCTCCATAACCAGAAGAATATTATTTATTTTTATTTGGCTGTGAAGGATCTTCATTGTCATGTGTGGGATCTTTAGTTGTGGCACATGGGACCTAGTTTGCCAAGCAGGGATTGCACTTGTGCCCCCTGCATTGGGAGCTTGGAGTCTTAACCACTGGACCACCAAGTAGGTACCTGGAAGTCTATGTAGTTTTATTTTTTAGTTCCAAATAATTTTAAAGAAGGGCTTGAGGTTTTTGTGTGCATCAAAAGAGGCATGGAGGGGAGCAAATATCAAATCTAAAACCTCAGAAACAT